TTTACAAGATACTTGGGTTCGTGAGAGTTGAAATAACTCCTCATAGGCTAGAACAAAGGCTTTGCTGCAATCGTTATCGTTATCGGAGAAAGCCAGTATTGACACTGCGGCGTGGCGCTGTGGGAACCTCCACTTCCAACTACGTGTTACATTGGCCTGTGTTCGGAACTAAGTACTTACCACCGTATCTATGGGTAGGTATTTAATAGCTGTAGAGCTCATTGTGAAAGAGATCGTCTCGGGAAGTACTGCCACCTTACCTATTTCTGCCGCCAAGACGCGGAACACACGGAACTTCTTTTTTCTTAAAAAATAAGTGCGCATTTGACTTCCATCTCACCTGATGGAAAGTGGCGATGAAGTCGACGATGGAGCAAGCACGCCTTGTCAACTTTATAAGTCAGGGGGTGCATGGCGGGTGCAGAGGTAGTGCCCCTTAGACCTTTGAGATTAAACCATTGTGGCACTGCAAATGGCGATGGCGTGTCGTGCGATTCGTTCCGAATCCGAGACTGTACAAATCTAGAAAAGTCGGACCCACTTCGGATGTCGCTTGTGCACTAAGTCCGATTCAAATCCGATAAAACACGAATATCGCTTGTACATCCATTGATCCTTTTGACATTTCGGACCGTCATTACTCGGATTCGGAACTGATACGAAGAGGACGTAGTGCTTGAAATGACTTGTTGCCAACACCGTTTAAGCAAATTTTTCAGGGTAAGGTTATTTAGGTTAAACATTTCGTGTTTTGAACTGTAGCTCGTGTCAATCTTGTTACGAAAGTATTCGATATATTAGTTAAATAGGAGCAAGACGAACTCCCAAAGATAGAGGTGTGGTACTACTCATTGCTGCATGCCAACTTGCCACCTCTTTTGCTTTCGTTTGCAATGTAAAGTTATTCTAGCCCGACACGAGGTACCACCTTTCCATATTCATATATAAAAACTTACAAAAATCTCAATTTCTACTTGGAGTGGAAACCCTTGGCCCGTGGGGTCCCAGTGCCATCTGTACAAAATTTTATCCCAAAAATTAACTGACCGTCGGCATCTAGCTTGCCCAACGCATTAGCAGAGCCATATAAAGGGTGAACGCTGCCAGTATCTTGGGCACCTTGCCGCGAGGACCCAATTTTATTCATATAATTTAAAAATCCTAGTTTTACCTTCTAGTATTTAAGCGTTTATTGTCTTTTTTACCTTACCTGTATATTACCAAAATAAAGAACGCTAAAAACTGCATTGTAAATAATATCTTCCGGCATTAAGAAAGAAAGAAAATACATTTATTTGACTATCACAAAAGAAAAGCGAAACAAAAAAGAGGAAAAGAAAATTATTATTACAAAACAAAATCACAAATAAAACAAATAATAAATAATATAAAATTAAAACACAAAGTATTAACATAAATAAGGACACTAGGTATAAATAAAGATACTTTGTGTGTTGTCAGCTGGGGTAATAAAAGGGTCACTAACAGAGATGGGCAGTGGGTGGGGTCAACCAACCCGCCCGGGTTTTATCCGGGTTGTTACCCATTTCTGCCCAAAATCGTGGGCGGAAACGGCGAATATGGGTATTTGGTGTAATTCCACACTTATTACAAATTACAAATTTCGATGTAAAAATAATCTTTATTAGACGAAAAGAGTCAACTCCACACAATACCTTGCAACCCTATAAATTCTCACCACTAAGGATGCATATTACGATTCGATTTTTAAGAAAATCGATTCAATAGAACGGCAAATGGAATCGTCTAGACGAAAACAATAAACATTTTGTTATGTATTATTATATTTGAAAAAAAAACTCGATTAAAACCCGGGAGCTTGTCCATCTCTGGTCACTAACTTAGTATTTGCTGGAAAACGAAACGTGTTAACGTTAACGCAATTTAAAATGTTTACTTTTCAATACAGAACACAGCTTGATAACCTGTAATGTGTAAGTTTGCATACACATATAGAAATTGGAATTTCAAAGTAATAGAAAATTTTCACCTATAAAATATACAATACAGCTATTTGACCTCATTAATGTCCTGCCCTTGCCAAATGCTACTCACGATTGATTGTAGCGTGGGTCTGTGCGAATTGAGACAATTTATTCTTGTATGTGATCTACCTAGGACCTTAGAATAATAATGCATAGAATTATAGTTTCATATCAAACGAACTGTCACAAGTGAGGCAAAAATCAAATTCATGTAGGCTAGTTTTAGTAGTAGGTTAATTTTCGGTTTTAGTGAATATTTACATAAAAATACAAGTTGAAACGCGTTACTTCCTTGTGGAATGTGATGTTAGTATCTATTTTGTTTGTCTGACGTATTTTTACACTCATTTACCGCACATTTCGTCATTTTTAGCTAAAATTCTTGATCTGTTCGCGGTGCAAGTTGACCTTGAGCACTGACGGCCCGCCCGCTCGTGTAGGCCCCTTGGGAGCGCTTCAATTTGCCTCATTTAGCGTGTGCGGACTAGGTTTCTATGCGTTATTATTCTAAGCCTAGGACATTATGAGCTACCTGTAGTAGAGTACCCTGTCCCTGGGTATAATCTTGCCAAACTTTTTAATCATGAAGTTAAAAAAGAAGAAGTTTCACTGTTGGCACTTCTTTGGTTCTCCTAGTCAGCAGATCATGTTTCTGGTTTTTTTTATACAATACCAAATGACGGGATAAACACGTCGTGCGCCTGATGGTAAGCTACACGCCTGACTATTATAACAGTGGCAGTGCCACTCAGAGCTTTAAATCGCAAAGATCTGAGGGGCACTGCCCAGAGACATAAGTTGACAAGTCCCACGTGCCAGTAATTTCAGCAGCGCCATTACCCTTCAAAACCGGAGCACAATAATGCTGATATTACTGCACGGCGGCAGTACTTCCCTGGACGAACTCCTTCAAAAGGAGCTCTACTGCTACTCCTTGCTAGGTCTGTGTGGTCTCAGGGCTCGTCCTTCTTCTTAAAATGACAACTGGCCTGGTGACTCGAGGGCTGGCAGCTACTTTGTCTAACGTTTTAGCATATTAGTTATACAAGAAGGGTTTAGGGCACTCTGTCGCAGGTAACCAATTTCATAATTTTAAATTTACTGTGATAGATATAGAAAGGCTTTTCAATTTCGTTCACATTCTTAAAAAACAAATATGGTTTCTTAATCTTTCCTAATCGTAAGTCTGTCGGAGACGGATGTCTCCCGTTGAGGCGGATCTTGGGGTTTTACGCATTCAGTCATACTACTTACATCGTTGACATCATATATTTAACATAGAATTCGGCTGCCCCATGACAAAACCTAGTAAGTGAGAGCTCAAAAACACAAATCATGGTTACCCTTACTTAAATTTTAATGTAATAAAGTGTGGTATGTGCCTATGCTTGTCCATTTTGTTGGCGTGTTGGTACGGCAACCCACCCAAAATTTCAAGTTAAATTAAAATATAAATCAAGCTGAGGGTGCAATTTTTATTTTATTTTATTTTGTTTTATTTCAATGTTAGTGTTTATTTTATTCTATTTTATTTCAATTTAAAAGATTTTTATGTTCTTTTATTACAATATTTCAATTTTCAGTTTTTAATGTTATTTTATTTTTTAGTTTTAATTTTACTTGTATTTTATTTTATTACTTTTATAAATATTGATTCTCTAACATAGTACCTAAGCCTTCTGTAAAACGAACAAGTGGACTTGTGTTGTCTTAAATAAAAAAAACTCATCGGTATCATCAATCAACGAATATACTGATGTCACAAAAAACGATCGTATATTTTATACCCTTACTAACTTTAAATATTAATACGAGTATACATAGCTCGTAAAACTGACGGGGGTTGGGGCAGTAAGGGTAACCGATGGAAGCACGTCGCGTCCGATCGGCTTGCCTGGAAATCTTTGGGGGAAGCCTATGTTCAGCAGTGGACGTCTTCCGGTTGATATGGTGATGATGATGATGATGGATTGTAAATAATATTATTAATGTGCCAAACAACCACGCCAATAACCTGATCTCAAGCTAGATATTTTTTTGTACCATGAGTACCAGAGCCAATGTCCCCAGTCACCTAGAACATACAGACCAACACCAATTTACAAATCTAATTTCCCAAATTGGTTCTACCGGGAATTGAACCTGGGACCTTTCGAGGTCGTTAGTGATAATTGACAGGCTATGCAGTGAATCATTGCAAAAACTAAAGTCAGAACATTGTTTCCAAAATTTTATTTTCCTCCATTCGATTGTTACATACAACTTACAAAATGCTAAAGTTTCATTCATTTGTACAAATTGCAGTGTTCCGTAGAAAACTATAATAATTATCATTTTACATTAATTTATTGTTTATATTAATCCTTTTTATAATTACATAAATAATGTTATTATTGAATAAAAATGAGTATTATTATTTAAAAAAGGAAAGTTGATTAAAGTTGTTTTGAATTTAAAACGAACGGGTTTACGTAAAACTAAACTACATTAAAAGATAAAGGACCTTATTATTAATACATAAGCATTTAAATATATAAGGCAAACACAAATTTGTATAGTTTAATTAATATTAATTCAACATTTATTTACATTTGAACACGCAGTACAAAAAGTTATAAAATAAAATAATACAATAATTTTTGTACTTTATTAAGTTCATTTACACATTTTTCACTTAAAATTAGCTTAATTATGTTGTTATAAGTTAATTGCTAAGTGGCAAAGTGGGATATGTTTTAAAATTATTGTTTTTAGTTTACGAGATATACTTTTAACACATATGTTTTGATTATCGTTAAAAAGAAATTGTAAGGGACCGTTTTTTGCCTTTTGGCTACAGTACTCAACAAGTTTACTATAGTTAGTTACTTTTAACTATACATAAAATTATTTTAAATTTTTTAATACCAATAGTTTAAAGCTGATATGGTTTCTAAAATAACAAAAAAGTTCAAAACAATATTTTTTAAAACTCCCCAGAGTTTGTATAGTTTTCAAAACCTGTAACCTGCTGGCAACATACAAGATGCGTACACAAAATATTTTATAATAATACGTATAGACATACAAAGGAAGTATAAAATGCTATAATTCTTTTAAAGGTTCAGCGATCAATTCAAAATTCGCTATCGATGTATAAAAGTATAAAAATCGCGACCATTTACAATCACAACCCTTTTAAATCGATCACCAGCAAAGGTGTTCATGTCACATTTAGTCCCCATTAAGCCGTGGCACACAAATTTGTCACAAGCCCCATTCATTTAATCCTTTTCAAATATCTATTTGTCGTCACAACATGTTTAGTGACACGTCACACCTGGATTTTAACAATAAATTTGAAAGTTCGCGTGTGGTATCGCGATATTTGTGATGTTTATGACTGTTCGCTGTGGTGAGTGCCGTGCCAATTTCTAAACTGTTTCGGGGATAGTTAAGACTTATGACAAGTAAAAGTTCACACTGAAAATTACGGACTCTTTTTGCTTTAGTGATTAAAAAATTCACATTATTTAATGAAAACCTTGAATGATATTCACTAAAACAGCGAACTGCCTTAGGGGAAGACTTATAACACTTATTTCTATGGCTTTAAATCATCAAAAATTCAGTCTTGAATTCGGAGGTTGTTGTCGCGCACTAATAAGACCCAAGATCACGAAATTATGCAATTCTTGTCTTGCGGATTGTTTTTGCGTCGTTCTCGTTTCGCGCACGCCACTGCATCGTTTGGGACGTAGGATATTCGAACTCCGCCATACGCTCTTCTTGTAGGCAAAGTATAAGACTCTGCAGAAGAAGACGATGATGAGCAAGTACTGCAATAACTGCTCGCATCATCTTCTCTTACCTTTTCTCTTTTAGGAGGATCGTCAGGCACGAAAGCTTCGTTGTCATCTCCACAAAATCTTACTGTCCTACCTCCTCTCGGTCTTCTTCCTTTGCCATCAACCAAACTCAATTCGGGCATCGAAGACGAATGTCCCGGAGTGACAACTGCTTGAGCTTCAACAGGATGTGGTGGCTTCCACTCTTCAGTAGACTCTTCTCTTCTCTCTTCGGTGACGTCTGATGTTGGGCTTGGTTGGATTTGATGTTCCGTCATGGATTGCTCTAATTTCAAATCTTGTAATGCTCTATCGAGGCTAAGACATGCGTGAGGTGGCGGAGGGGGATGTGGTGGGGGTGTTTCCGGTGCTATCGATCCACTAGGTTCAGAATCTGCATCAATATGCGGCGACGATTCTCTTGGAGGTGTTCTCGCCGGTGACTTTGGCGAAGGCACTCTTTTTGGTCTTGACATTCGAGGAGGTCGAGGTCCAGGGCCTGAAGAATCGCTGGGTGTCGGAGGCTCTCCTTTTGAACATGCTATGGAACAAAAGATGGCTCCTTTGCGTGGCAAGAATGGTCTCCCTAATAAACTGGCTCGGCAAGTATGGCACGCGAAGCAACGTTCTGTTGCATGCCAATGTTGGCCTTCGTGAGACATCTGTCCCTGGTCTACTCCGATGGGCTCTCCGCAAGCGTCGCAGTATTCAGCGAAACAGCTATCGAAACAGGGCAGGCAGTAGGGTCTGGCTTCCCTCATGATGTATCTCTGTCCGCCGAGTTGTCGCGAACATTCCGCGCAGGCGAAGTGTTTCATGTGCCACGCTCGACCTTCAGCTTCTGTGCACTCATCAGCGAGGATTATCTGTTGACAAGAAATAGTCAGTTAGAGCTTTTTATATAAGGAAACAGAAAAAGAATATTATTGTAATAAAGACTTTGAGGACTAAGAAACGGGGAAAAGTTTTAGTGCAGCATTATCAAAGTTTTACTCTAAACCAGTCGGTAAACATTTTAGTGACGAAAAATTTTAAACCTCGGAGGAAATTTCTTGGCGAGGTTCCAAAGCCATATACAGCATATATATATACAGCACAGGTCGACATGGCTTCCGAGATTTCAAAATCTGTATGACGTGTAGCCATCACGTACATCAGAGTACCGTTTTAAAATATTAATAACGAGTCCAGTTCTTGCACTGCGCTCTGTGGGAACCATGAGCCATTGTGTCGGTACATCCAAGAGGTCGACACTCGGGTATGAATAATAATGCTTAATTAAGCTTGTTTGTACTGGTAATTAATTATAGAGTGTAATTGGATTAGATGGACGATCAGATGTTTGAGGTGCCCTAATTTCTGCTGACGTTTTGTAGGAAGTTGGAAGTGAGTCGAAATGATACAAATTAACGTTGGTAGTAGGTTGAAGGCTTTGGCTGCCTTGTTAAAGGTCATTTATGTTTGGATGTATAGTATTTCAGTTAGGTTAATTGCCTGCGGTAGTTACTTAAGATAGGTCTAAATTTAAAAGTTGTGATTAGAGAAGTTATAACACTTTAAAGCTAATTGAAATATTGACTATAATTAGTAATTGTCTTATAGTGCATCATATTTCAAGTCATATCATAATAAACAATTTCGAGAAAAAATTAGCAAAAAAAAATTTAGTAGCCGTAGAGCTCCTTGTGAAAGTGTTCGTCCAGGTAAGTAGTAACAGTAATGGTGAAATTACAGTCACATGGGACTCGTCAACTTATGTCTCAGGGTGACGGGCGCAGCGGCAGTGCCTCTCAGATCTTTGCGATTTAAAGCTCTGAGTAGCACTGCAACTGTTAAGGATGAGCGTGTCGCTGACCACCAGGCGCACGACTTGTTCGTCCCGTCTCTTAATATTGTTAAACTAAGTCGTAATTACACCTCATAAAATCAAGGCATTTTTCTTTGTGTTCGATCTTTGTATTAACAATTACAAGAAAGTAGTCACAAAAAATTAATGCATATCATGGTTGATATTCAATAAAATTATTGAGTACAATTTGCTAGTTATTTAAAGCTTTCTAAGCTTGTTGAGCAAACAAGTTGTAATTAATTAAATTTTTATTGAATTGATATTCAATTATGTTTTGTGAAATTACTCCACTAGTTTGTTATAATTATTAATACAAAGATCGAACACTCGGAAAAAACACAAAGACACGACGCAAGCACATAGAAAAATTCGTGAGGTCCGTTGGTTCGTTCCGTGTCTTAGTTGGTATAGCGTCTGGCACGGTATGCAAGAAGACGTCGGTTCGAATCCGACCGGATCGAAGGAATTTTTTGTGAGTGCTTTTTCTGAGTGTTCGATCTTTGTATTAATAATTATAACAAACAAGTTGTACTCATTAATTTTATTGACTAACGTCATTAAAAAAGTGTTATAAGTTTTCGCGCCATTACATATGCAGTTTTACTGAATAATGTGAGTCTATACACTACTTATCGCAATTACGTACTTAAGAACGTTTTCACAAACATTCCTGGATATCCTCTGTTGAAAATTGATCATTCATAAATAATTGAAAAAAAGAATGAAGTTTCTTAAATGTAGTTTCTGACTGTGCCTTCGCTTCAAGTTGCAAATAAATCTCATACACTTGTTTGAGCAAGGAATACGGAATCAATTTCCGAAAACATTATACCGTTTAAAGTCACGCCAGTGTGTACCGGTCGCATACTGGGGACCCGGAGACGACTAGGCTGTTCAACTAGATAGTTGCTGCAGAGATCTGCAGCTCGGCGGAAACAGTCCAACAACGGTATCCTAAAGCGCAACTTGTCTTTTTGGGGGACTTTAATGCCCATAACCAGGAATGGTTGTTCCCATACCAAAAAACCGACCACGCTGGAAGAGAGGCGCGGGCATGTGCTCTATCGCTAGACCTCACCCAACTGGTGAGTTGCGCTTCCCGGGTACCGAACGTTGACGACCACACAGCCAATTGCCTGGATCTTCTGCTGACAACCGATCCAGACCGCTATCAACTATCGGTCTCGTCTCCACTAGGGACATCCGATTACTGTCTGGTGAAATCTGTATCTGTCTACTCCCCACCCGATCTCAGTACGAGAGGTACTAGGAGGATGTAGCGATACAAGTAAGCAGATTGGGATGCGATGCGGCATTTCTTTGCATCTTATCCCTGGCGACAGCTGTGCTTCTCTTCTGACGATCCGACGTGCTGCACGTCGGCTGTCTCTGAGGTGATTATTCGGGCTATGGAATATTTTACTCGTCCTTGGTTTAACACTGAGTTTGCTTCCGCGGAAACGCTAAAGCAATCCGTGTACCAGGCTTGGGCTGATGCTCGAGATCGCAAAGCACCGGAAACCCTCCGTCTGAAGAAAGCCTTTAATAAAGCCGCTAGATCTTGCAAAAAAGCGATACGGAAAGCTCGCTTCGGCCATATTAGTCGTATTGGGGCCAGGTTAGCTTCATACCCATCAGGGAGCAAATTTCTGACATTCTGGTCGCTCGCTAAATCGGTCGAAGCGAATTTTTGCAGGTCATCCCTTCCGCCTTTAATGAGATCTGACGTATCCCTGGCTCACACCGCTGAAGAGAAAGCAAATCGTTTTGTTTCTCTATTTGCTTCCAACTCCTGTCTTCACGCTACTTTGTAAACACAACCTACACTACCTCGCTGTGACTCGGAAATGCCCGAGATCACTATCCGTCAAAAGGAGGTGTTGAAAACTTTACGCAAATTAGACGTCAACAAAGCCAGTGACCCTGACGGAATCACAGCGATTGTCCTGCGAAACTGTGCACCCGAGTTGTCTCCGGTGTTGACTCGCCTGTATCGCCTCTCTATGAGTTCTGGACAAGTCCCGAAAACCTGGAAGCTTGCAAATGCACAGCCTGTACCTAAGAAAGGGAGTCATGCCAACCCATCTAATTATCGACCTATAACAATCACCTACCATACTCTGTAAAACTATGGAGCGCGTATTGAAAGCCGTCTCCTTGGATACCTAGTAGATAACGATCTTCTCAGTGATCGACAGTATGGTTTTCTCCGTGGTCGATCTACTGGGGTTCTTCTTGCGTATGCCACACATTAATGGAGCGAATTTGTCGAGAAATGCGGTGAATCGCTTGCCGTGTTTCTCGACATATCAAAGGCCAAAAATAGGGTTTAGCATGATATACTGTTAAACAAACTTTCAGTTTACGGAATTCCTGTTGGCTTTTGCACATAGATAGGCGATTTTCTGAAGGGCCGGCCAATCAGTGTAGTTGTAGATGGTTACTCGTCTGCTCCTAATAATCTGTATAAAAATCTGTACCTCAGGGATCTGTCCTCTCCGCCACTCTATTCTTGCTGCATATCAACGACCTGCTGCTGATACCCAGTATCTTTGGGTACGCAACGACAGCACAGTGGTAGAGAGTTATGTGCCAGACGCCCGAGACAACAGCGAAGAGATTCGGTGTAAACGAGAGGCGATGGTTACCCGGTTGAACCTGAGCCTGAAAGCGGCTTCCGACTGGGGAGATGTGAACAGGGTCAGGTGTAGTGCGGCTAAAATACAGGTGTGTCTTTTGACATCAAAACGGAGTCCCTTACATCTTACTCTGACTTTCCGAGTTCAATCGTGTATGGAGTACTGCTGCCACCTTTGGGACGGCTCTGCCCATTACCAGTTAGATGCCTTGGACTCGGTGGAGCGAAAAGCAAAGAAACTTATTAACAACAATTCTCTTGTGGAGTCGAATTTACAAAATCTCGACCATCGCAGAAAAGTAGCCTGCTTCTCGGTTTTCTATCGGATACATTTCGGGGAGTGTGCGCAGGAACTTTTCAATTTAGTTCCACCCTCACCGTTCCTCCTTCGGTCGACTAGAAGGTCGGATGGAAGGAGAACTCCATTTGTATGTCGTTGATATTCCACCTATTCGCACTAAGCGCTTTGCTTCCTTCTTTCTGATGCATACAGCAAGAGAATGGAATGCTCTACCGACTATTCTGAATGTCCCGAGAAGTATAATTTGGGGCCATTCAAGGCTACAGTGAATATGCATTTTTTTAGGCAAACGCGTCCCATCGTCGCTTAACATCAAATGAGATTTTCGCCAAGCGTGCGTTTATTATATATTAAAAAAAAGCAGAAGCCACGGACTCGTGGAAAGACGGTGCAATAGTTTCTTTTTAAAACACTTTATTTGGATTGAATACAGAGTAAGACTTTTTATTTAGTTTAGTTTAGAGATAAATTCGTGATTTCTGTTTCACCTATATTAATTTTTAACCGTTTCAAAGTATATTTTGACTATTACAAATAACAGTACTGTCTGCGAATAACACTACTGATATATATTAAGAGTAGTAACGGTCTTAGAAGAGACTACCTTGAGGCACTCCACAAATAAAGTTTTTGCGATTCGAGTATCATTTTTATTCAGTTTCGGTCTTGGTGTCCTAACAGAAATAATTTTGTCTTATCTCGTTTCCATAATCAATGTATACGTTTTATGTACCAATTCGATATTTGTAACACTACCCGATCAACATGCAAGATGTTTCTCACAGCACCTCGTTACCATGCGACATGTTTATTTCCTTGCTATTTCAACGGCGCCTGCGTCTGCTATCTGGCTCATTATCAGCCACAAATTACGCAACCCATTGTCTAAATGCTGCATTATGCGTTGGGAGATCACGAGGAAACTAGTTAAGAGCTTTTTTAGATTTCAACGAGACAGCCAGAAAGCTATGGCTTGCACGCTAAATTTTAATGGTTATATTTAAAATGTGTGTGGACTATTATGGTAACATCACTGAAGTTATAACTATTTAGTGCCAAAATAATGTTTATTTAAGAA